CTATTATACACGGACCGTACAAACCCTTCCAATGTCTGAGCCTGGGCCCAGGCATCGAAGTTCTGACCGTAGCCTTGTTGCCACACTAGGCCATTCAACCAGCGGGCTGCTGACCCCTCTAGAAAGGAGGCAGCCTCTACAACTTTTTGCTTTGGCCTGGTAAGTTTGTGCCTCACATAGGTAGGCACCGTCCTTACCTAGGTGTCCAAGTCCTCATCCTTCTTCCTGTCGTCGGAGAAGGGCTTAGGACTCAATAAGGGTATTTTGGGCATCCACTGCATAGGCTGCATTGGCCGAGAGGATTGCTGCAGTGGCTGCATAGCCATCGAAACAGGTTGCTGCACACTAACCTGGGCCCGGCTAGACAGTGGGACTGTAGTAACCACTGTTGTCCATGGTACGGCTGAGACTCTATGAACCGGACCACTAGTTGATACATAACCACCTGGAGGGGGCATGCCAAACATAGGTGAGAATGAAGACCCTACCGGCAGCAGCGTCATTGATGGACCCGCACCCGGAGGGGGAGCTACAACAAACTGAGGTTGCCTCATCATTGGATGAGGAGCCTCTAATGCAGCCAGAATTTGTTTCTGGCCTGCCACTAGTTCAGCCAACACCTCCTGCTGAACAACCTGCGTCTCCGCCACACACAGGAGCGAGTTACGCAGTGCTCGCATCGCAGGGTCAAGCGTTGACTCATCTAATGCTTCCAATCTGCTTAGTTCCTGCAATCTACTACCTAGTCTAGCTTTCCTCATTATAACTCTTCTTCTCCTCTCTGCTGCTTCATCCAATTGCCACTGCAACTCATCCTAAAGTTCTTCTGCTTGGAGGATCTCATAATCCTCTGGCGTGAGTTGAGTCTGCTGGCTGACTTGCAAGCCAGCACTCCGGCTAATGGACCCCTGAGAACCACTCTGACTAACTCTTGACGAAGTGGCTTGTGAAGAAGCCTGCGACATGGTAGAGGAAGTAGTCATGGTTGTACCGGTACTAGATATAACTCTAGACATGGCGCTTTCCTCAGCCACCCTCACTCTTCTTGCCGCTGCTCTCTCTCTAGCCTCTCTCCGCAATCTCCTCTCGTCTCCTGGACCTAACTCTAGGAAAGTCAAAGGTCGACTGCGAGTAGTTCCACGAGTAGTCCTACGGTCATCCACTAACAACTCCTCACTAGTGCTTGCATCACTCATGAGCTACAGTGTGTGTGATCTAAACTAGAATCCACACTGAATCCTACCTTAGCCTGACACACAACCGATTATAAATCACAACTAATTTCGGTCGGCCTGAACATAAACAGTTAGGTGATGTAGTAACAACTAATGTCAGATCCTACAGGAAATATCACATCTATTTTTAGATTACGCTAGAACAGATTGCAATGCAGCAAAGAACTAATCTGTCTGCAGCTGTCTGTCAATTGTTAGCCAAGTCTGTAACAACTAAATAATCAAAAAATAAAAATAATATCTCCTGTTGGAGACTGGATGGCAGATTGTCTAATGATTGCCACTGTGAACAGTTACCGGAATCCCCCCTCCCCCTGTATCCTTCTTGAGTTGTCACTTTTTGTCAACGCCCCGAGCATCTGGTTGAGCAGCGTGTCTGAAGGTGTGCAATCCGGCCCGCCCCTGTGCCCCAAGTCAACGCCGAACCTGCCAGCCCCCGCACATTATTTACCCTCGCATGCAATGAGCCTTACACCCGGTTTGATCTGGCTGATCAGGAGGCATTTAAGGAGATCCCCCGTAACTCCTCAGGAATTATTTAACGTCGCAGACAGGACGACGATCACAGCCAGAATCAACACTGAGTCCCCGCCAGAAATATTTAGAGACGGTCTGGTAAGCGTCTGTTCAAAGGGCTGGCATGCCCTGCATGACCTCTATTGCGCAGCAGCAGAACCAAGGACTTGCGGCAAAGCATGCGTGTACTAGTCCCAGCGGGTTGGCATGGTGACCGTGACCCGAGTGCTTCGTCCAGGGCCCTTCAGAGGCTACGCCCGTCTCCCACCAGCTTGCTGCCCAAGAAGAATGTCGACTCTCAAGGTTGAGCGCTCGCAACACCTCACATCGAGAGGACTCTCAAGACAAGACTCACTTCCTCACGGTAAGAAGTAATGAAGAGGGTAGATACGGAAGAGAGCAACGTACCTTATAATGCTGCCCCCGACCACAGATTTCTCATCGGCAACCTGATGTGCATTTATGGTCTTTGCCTCGGCACAACCAACAGCAGAATGCAGTTCCACCTCGGATTAATATGCCACACCTGCGAGCTCTCATCATCCATCATACACCCCGTATGTCACCGCATAGGTTCCTGGCGCGCCCACACGACTCTGGGCCGCCTTATGTTCAACGCCCAAGCCCTATCACCGCCCCACACCTCATGCGAAGCGCCAAACAGCTATTGCGAAGAACCAATTAAGCGCAATATGAACCAGCTCCGATACCAAATTGCAAGGAAAATGAGCAACAGCGAGATGACAATTTCAGATTACACCATCACATTGAAAGCCAGATAGTCACACCGTGACCAGAGAGCAGCATTGCACCAATAATACACCAATGGAGGTTCGTAATACTGAAAACCAATGTCAAAGGAGAGCTTTCTCTCTCCACACCAACACAAGAGTCCAGTCCCTGCACACTCCTACTTGGCGCTCAGCGCCCAGCCTACTCCTACACAGCTACCATCAGCCTACTTCAGCAACCCGAAGTACTTGAAGATGTCACCCAAACGCAGACCATCGCCAATACAAGGTATGTGCCCTCACATCATCATCATCATCATCCTTCTCCCTTCCCTGACTCTACACCCACGTCTTCCTCCCTTATACCCGAAGACCACTCATGCGCCTCACTGTAGTCCAAGCCCACCAGCTATGGTGGATGGGCTATGGCGCTGCCCTCAGCAGCGCCCGTTGACCATAGCCAACCTCTCTCATGTACCAGGTACGTATCTCATCTCCCATCATCAGACCCAGTCCACCCACAGTCGCCTCCTTCCTGAAGACCACTGATCGCCCTCTTACCCCCTAGCGCCCTGCAGCCCGGCTATGGCTGCTAGCTCTCCGCTGCCCAGCAGAGCCCCTCTTCACCACACAAACGCCCTGGCCACTAACGCAGCATGCAGCGTCTCGCGCAGCAATGCAGCAGCGTGACTGCATTGCCTGCATGGGCCAGAATGCCCGACCCTGGCTGCCCCTCTTCCTATATGGAAGTGGCAGCCCCTTGTCGGCTGTGTGAGGGCCTGGCCGAGAAGCATCCAGTAGCTTCCGGTCTGGCCCTGGTGTCTGCGCCAGACCCAGCCTTGCAGTTGGACCCTGGGCCTCGTACAGTTGGGCACACCCCGCATTTCCAGAACTTCGGCAGTTTGCTGCTGCACAGGGCCTGGGGTATGTACGTCGACAATGCTGCTTTTGTGTAGGCCCGTAGCCACTTCGTGATGTATCGGCCCTGCATTGTGTGTATGTGCCCAGGCGCAACTACCAGTGCCTGGGCCAAACTGTACGATGCAACTTAGGGAGGCTCACGCATCCCTTCAACCAACTGGGGTGCTGCAACAGCCTCAGTACCCACATATGGAAATGTCGAATTTTGGCCTCTTAGTGAATATTCAGGCCCGCCTTCACTTAGGGCGGGCACATTCCTGCTGAGGGCCTCTGCCCAGAACATGTGCAGGTTTGACAAGGGCCCCGCGAGGGCTCATTCCTCACTTTTTTTTTTATTATTATTATTATTTTTCAATTTGTTTTTGATGATTTAGTTTTCTTTTGGTCCGTCCGGGCAAGTCTGGTAGCCTATCATTTTTGCGATTCCAGGTGCACATTTCTGCAGCCGGAAACACATTTCTGCTTCTTTTTTTTTTTTTTTTTTTTTTTTTTTTTTTTTTTTTTT